ACACACACACACACACACACACACACACACACACACACACACACACACACACACACACACACACACACACTAATGTGCACCTAATTTTTCAATATGAAGTTCCACATGGATCTGTATTATTTAATGGTACTATTTAACTACTACAATATTTTTACAAGTGACACCAGCATCTTCAGATCAAACTAATTCTTTTCAAACTCTTGACTTGAATTTTGCATTTTTAACATAGAATAGCTGTCAGAAAGTTGCATGTTCCTAAATGTGCGTCTCAGAAAAAAAATCTTAACGATTTATAAAAGTTAAGATGAATTTGTATAAAATTGTAGGATGTTGGCTTGACAACAAGAAAATAGTAAGTAAAGTAAATATAAACTATATTTAGATTGATTTATTGAAATCTTTTTGAAATATTCTGCCTATTCAATCCCACTATAAGTGGTGGAAGGTAAAATAAAATAAGCCGTGCAAACATGTGGTGGTTTAAATACTGAAAACTAGGGCTGCAACAAACAGGGTTCCCACACCTTGGTTGGCATCAAATTCAAGAACCTTTCAAGGACTTTCCAGTACCAATTTCCCCACATTCAAGAACCAAATGCGACTTACCTACTGTTACCGCAGATTGTTATCAATACACAGGTTTAATATGTAAATTCAATGAAAAACTGAACATGTTGTTGAGTCTGAATAAATGAACCAAAGTGGATTAAATGTTTACCCTACATTCATATCCACAGAATAGGGACATGTAATTATGTCCTGGGAGGTTCAGCAGCTCAGTTTGGGAGGAGGGGATGTGAACATTACGGGTGCAACGATACAGAAAATTCACGATTCGGTTCAATACTTTAGTCTCACGGGAAATGTCCATGCCCCTTTTAACTTGTAATTTATTTAAATTAATTATGAACATTTGTTTAACCTCAAAAGTACAGTTTTTAAATTAAACGTTGCTGAAACCACAGGTTTCTCGGTGGATCCGCGCTCAAAAATGCAGCCTAGGTGGAGTAGTCGAACACAGATCCACTGATCCTTTAACACAGAGCATCTTCAGAAGACAAGTTGATAAAGTAAATTTTAAAAATCTGTATTGTTCGATACAAGTGTGTATTGAACCTAAAGCACTGTTCAATACGGTTCGATACAGGTACATGTATTGTTGCACCCCTAGCCAACATGTCCAGATGCTCAGTGAGGACAGGAGGAGTTGTGGTGCTCTCATCTGGGCTCAGAAAGAAAGACCCGCCCTACTCTGCTCTGATTGGGTAAAACTATGACTATGGCTCACGTTAGTTGTTGAAAGTCACGTCAGGTTACTGTAATCCTGACTTATCCACTGCAACAAATGTAAGTTTTTTTTGTTTTTGTATTTTTTTTTCCGGAGGATGAAAATCTGTCGGTGAATAGAGAACTTCAATCCCCAAAAAGCATTCAAGGACTTTCAAGGACAAGTGTAATTTTTGGCTGTTTTCACAAACTTTCAAGGATTTCAAGGACCCGTGGGAACGCTGTAACACTTAAAGGTTTTTAAACTGAATCAAGCCGAGGAGCTGTAGTGCAGACTGTGAGCCTCCGGCTCCACATTCTCCTTTATGTCATGCTGTGACATCTGCCACCCCGCAAGGGTCAGGTCAGGGACAAAACACACTCCATGACATCACTTAAGTGCACACTTCTGAACTCTCCACAGCAGCACACACGCACACAAGAGGAGCAAACCGAGCATTAGCGACTTAATTTACACATGCACATACATTCACTTTAATTACTGGGGTTGAAGCAATAATTTAAATGTTTAATTTCTAGCTTCCAGTTGTGAAAAAGTAGGATATTTTATTAATAATGATGCCCTCTGCTTTGTCTGTGTTGTAAAAACAAATGTCAGGCTGAAGAAAGCAATGAAAAACTCAAATAAAGATGATGGAAAAAGAGGTTTTGTTCAACACTTTGGATCAAAACGTCAGGTTAAAACAGAAATACAAGTTTATTTCATTAAGAGTATGTATTTTAATTATTTGGGAATGTGCTTTCTTTAAAAATAAAAGAAGATAAAACAAATCTACAGACTGAAAGCTACAATCTATTATTATGATTCATATTTACAACTTTAAAGGGACCAACGATTAGTTGTAACATTAAACTATTTGATAAACATTTATTTTAACTGTAAAATAAAGACTGTAAAAATACTGT